ATTTGGAAAACTATATTTTCGCTTATTCGGTATTTTTTTTATCATAAACGTAAAAAAAAAAAAAAAGTTTTTCGTTGCGCTTATTCTCAGTTTTTTTTGAACTTTAACAATTTGTTTTCTTTTTTTTTTTTTTTTTAATTTAATACGTTTTTCTGATGTGAGAAAAGTTAAAATGAATAAAAAAAATATATATATATATATATGCGTATAAAGAAAACTTTCATTGGATTCGATAAAAATTTTTTACGATTTCGAAAAAATAAATAAAAAAAAAAAAAAATTGTTTTGTGTCGGCGGTGAAAGCAACGACAACCAGGAAAATTTTCGATGTTTTTCTCGTTTATTCGGAAAAGTTTTGAAGAAGGAATTTTCCTCCTGCCCCCCCCCACGTTTTTTTTTGCATGATAACTACGTATTGATGATTAAAAATATTCACGTGGATTTATTTGTAGGAAAAGAAAAAAATTAATTTTCTTTTAAAAAAACATTTTCTTTTTTTCTTTTTCTTCTTCTTCTTCTTTTTTAAGACTTCATCATCAATTTATAAAAAAGAAAAATTTGTCAAATCATCAATCAAAATAAAATCCTCATCGGTAAAAAAAGGAAAAGGAATGATGATGTTGTTAAAATTGCACTTAGGAGGTTATCAATTATCCTTAATTGATATTCGCATTTAAAATCGTTACCGAAGGGAAAACATATTTACACGCGAACTTTATCATCATCATCATCGTCATCATCCCTGTTAGTTCTTCCGTAAGAAAAATAAAATAATAATAATAATATTGTTCGTTCGTTTGTACTTTCCTACGTAAAATGTTGTATTTTTATATGTATAAAAGAGGGTTAAAGCGATATTGATGAAGGAAGGGTGGTCGGTTGGTTGTTGTTAAGGGATGTAAAAAAAATTCTTTTCTACCCTGCAAATATTTACTCTGTTTCATCACTCGTGAATTTCTCTCATCTTTTTTTAGCTAAAAACGTTTTTTAAAATATTATTCTCCTGTTAACGACCGCGAATTTATATTGTTAAAAAAAATTTTATAATAAATATATATATCGAGTTAAGAAAAAGGAAAAAAAATTTTTTTCGGTTTTAGGCTAATTGTTTTCAGCAGGATGCAATCAACTCTAACAAACAAACAGGCATCATCATTATCATCATAATCATCATCGTCATGATCAAACACAAATAAAAAGAAAACAGGAAGGAAATGAAAAAGGCTGGATGATTGACTTTATTACTAACTACGATGTAAACTTATTGAAAACTAAGACTTTTATTAGCTTTGTTAACAATATAAATAAACTTTAATTAATTTTTAATGCTTATTTATAACACTCTTTAAATAAGTGCCTCGAGTTATGTGTATTAATAATAATAATAATAATAATTTAATAGTAAACTTTTTTTTTTTATAAATTTTTATAACGTTATATTTATCGTTACAAAAAAAAAAACAAAAACAATAAATTTTATTATTATTTTATTCATCATTTGAATAGTTTAGGTTTATAATAATAATAATAATAATAATAATAATAATAATAATAATAATAATAATAATAGTTTGGAAAAGTATTTTAAGGTGGATTGAACCGCGCGTCGATAATAGTAAATCCCCAAAGTGGGATTCAACTCGTACTTTGTTTTTTTTTTTTTTTACAAATAAAATGTTTTATTTTATTATTATTCCATTAGGTTTTTAATAACGTCAAGGGTAGAATCAAAAAGTAGTTTCTAATTTAGGGGATTATAACACCCTCGATATTTTTTTTTTTTTTTTTCACGTATTGCGATTCGAAAGTATAGGAAATGTTCGTGTGCGTGTGCGTATGCGTGCGTGTGGGTTTTGAAAAATAAGTCTAACCTTTACTCTCCTTTGATTGTGTTGTAATCAATAGATAATGGGGTTGTTTA